CTAAGCACTGCTAAAATGAGGAACGCAAATCATAACTGAACATGTCGTACAAGTGTACTGTATCCGTCGTACCTGCAGTCGTTTGAATAGAGAGCAGTCGTACCCCTGCTCCATGGCCCGGGTGGATATGACGGTGGCGGGCAGCTGTACGGGATCACCCACCAAATACACCTGGGTTGCGGACGGGGTGGGGGGGGTGGGGTGCGGGAGATATGCTCGTCCATACACAGACGAAATTTGCTGCCGTACAAAGGAGGGGAGATTTCGCGCGTGTGTGTGCAAGTGTGGTGTGTGCGTGTGTGTTTTGGACAAGCTGGAAATATGGGGACGCGGTTATAGGTTCATTCCACATAAATGATGCGAGCCCGTCTGTAAAGAGGTCCATTACCGTCCATCGGCATGGGTGTCCGTCGGCATCCAACCTCTCACGTACGAGGGGAATTTGGTTCCGCATTTTGTCGGAATCATCCTGTACGCCCCACATACACATACACACATACACACATACATACACATACACACATACACACATACATACACATACACACACATACACACACATACACACACATACACACACATACACACACATACACACACATACACACACATACACACACATACACACACATACACACACATACACACACATACACACACATACACACACATACACACACATACACACACATACACACACATACACACACATACACACACATACACACACATACACACACATACACACACATACACACACATACACACGCACCCCTATACACACCTGCTTGCACCCCATCACCATGGGCACGAGCGTGGAGGGCTCCACCGCCTGGGCGGCCTCGTCGATCACCACCACGTCGAACTTGCGGCTGCGAAGGGGGGGAGGGCAGGGAGGGGGTACAGGGCAACAGCGAGGGCGACAGAGAAGTGGGGTTAGAAAGGCGTTTTCAGGGCTGCAGGAAGGAAAGATACGTGTACATATACGCAAACGTAAAGATGAAAAGATATAAATGTAAATATGTGAACATGTGTAAATATGAAATGTATATGTGAACATGTAAGTAGGTGTATGTTGTGCGCCAAGGGGCGGACCCCACCCTAACCACCCTAACCACCCCAACCACCCTAACCATCCCAACCACCTCAGTCTGGAAAACACGGAGCTGCCCGCAAAGGACAAGGTGGAGCACACGATGTTGGCCTCGTCCAGGATGGCCACCCGCATACGGTCCCGCTCCTGAGCCCCGGCGCTGCCGCCACCAACAACCCCGGACTCCTTACCGCCGCCCTGGGGGGTGGGGGTGGGGGTGGGGGTGGGGGTGGGGTGATGTAGGGGGTTGATCAGGGATGGGGGAATGGGGGATTACCAATGCCGTACCCCGTAAAGCACTGGATGCCGTACCCTAACGCCACGCTGAGCACTTTAGTCGTCTTTGCGACGGCGACCGATGTGTATGTGTGTGGTGGTGGTGGTGGGGAGGTAAACCTGGGAACCTGGGAACCTGAGAACGAAACACACCCATTTACACACACACACATACATATACACTCTCTCTAGCAGACTTGCGGCTGTCGGCTGCTTAGGAGAGGGGGGGGGGGCAGAGGGCCCCCTCACGGCCCTCTCCCGTCCCCGGGGGAGAGCTTAGGCGGTCCTTCCGTTGGGGCTGTATCCCAGCAGGCCCCTGGCCAGTGTCGTCAGGCCCGGTCAGATAGATATTTGTAACCTTCACACACATACACGCGCACACACATACACATACACACACAAATACACACACGCCGTACCTTCTCCCCCCCTCCCAACCTTGACTCCACAATGGTATCCAAAGACACCGCCGCCACGCTGTGATGCGACCTCACGCCCACGCGAACCAGACTGGGAGCGAAGTTGGCTCCGTCCTTATCCATAAGGCCCGAGCGGAGGATTCTGTGGGCAGAAGGCGGGGGGGGGGGGAGGGGCGGGTTAGGTTGGGAGGGCGGGTTAGGTTTGGGGTTGGTTGTGGCGGTGGTTCCAAAAATCACCAAACGTTTTAAGGCTGTAGTCGCATTCCGGCCTTAGGATGAGCGGAGGAGCCAATGATTGTACGGAAAAAATGAATATTGTTTTACAAAAAAAGTCATGAGCCGATGAGCGGATGAGTTTTTGTAAAAAAAGTGCACAAAGCGACTTTTTTGTTTAGTTTTTTTTAGAACAAAAAAGAAAAGATGCAATTTCGGTGGAAAGAAGGCCCAAGAAGCAAAGGGCAGCACCTCTGTAATTCTCGCGCAGCACACCAGAGAAATCAGAAGTACGGCGTACGTCACATGTTGTCGTACCGCATTACAATCTCGTCCAGCGCGCTGTTAGACGGTGCGCACACGAGCACATGCGCCTTGGGCCCCATGCTATGGCCCAGACGGTGAGGCGCGGCTCGACGAAGCAGCCCGAAGCAGTCATCGTGGACACCCGAGCCGGGTGGTACGGGATCGTACGGCGTGATGTCATCCCGGCAGTTGCCGGTTGATCCTCCCGGCAGGAGGTTGCCGTACAGCCAGGGGCAAAGGACGTCCCTCAGGCGGCTCCGGCCCTCCGTTGAGGGCGGCAGCAGCGCCGCCAGTCCGCTGGGGGCTGCGTGTCCGTGTGTGTGTGTATGTATGTATGTCCGTCCGTGCATCCATCCGTACATCCGTATGTACGATTGTACATGTATACGTCAACGTATGACGGGGGAAAAAAGGGCACCAGGGAGAGTGAAAAAGAAAAAACAAAAACGTGTCAGGTCGGGGTTTTGTCCGTCTGTCTGTCTGTCTGTTTGTCCCTCTTCCCCCCATACCGCAATTGCCAATGAACTCCCCTTTCCCCCGTCCCCTTCCTACACCACACACACACATATATATACACACATATATACACACATGCGCGCCTCCCCCCCTCCTCCCCCGCTACCTCTCCCCCCACACGCCCCAACCCCTCACCCGCCGCCTTATCCGCCCCCGCCGCCGCCACGCTGTTCATGAGCGCAATGCTGCCCTTGTGCGCCGAATGCATGATGACCGACAACAGGTTGAGAATCGTACGGGTCTTGCCCGTACCGGGGGGGCCCTGCGCGTACGGAAAAGAGCGGGGGGGAGGGAGGGGGGGAGGGCGGACCCCGGGAATAACCCGCGGGTAAAACATGGATTCTCCTTAGACGACCTCTAACTGACTCTTTAACTGACTCTTTAACTGACCCTAACTAACGGAAAGTAACCAGGAGGGAAGAAGGGGGGAAGGGGAACCGGCGTGGTGGGTTTTTGTACGGCAGGAGATGTGGAGCCTGTATAGGACAGATCTGGGTATGTGGTAATGCTGACAAATCAGCAGTAGCAGTAGCAAACGGGAAACCCGGGAAACGGATTTGCCTGGTGGAGGCGATATCCCCGTGTCTTGCCGACATCCGTCCGTCAACCCATATCCGTACTTAAAACACATACACATACACACGTACACACACGTACACACGTACACTCACCTGGATAAGCACCACCGGCGTGCCGTCGAGACCCGCCTGCAGAGCCGACATCTGCGAAATGACATCATCACCGTACGGCAAAACGTTATATTGCCACTTACTGGCAGTTCCTACCTACCACTATTTTCAGCCCAAATGCGGGGCAACCGTTATACCCCCCTTCCTCCCCCTCCTCCTCCTCCCCCTCCTAGATCTCCCACCCACCCCCGCCAACCCCAGGTCTGCAGTCTGCAGTATTTGTCTTCTCCTGGACTACCC